TTGACTTGACTTTGTTTCCACTCATGAGCGACGAAATTCAATACTCCTCCGGTCCTTAATATAAGATCCATTTAACTAATTTGATTAGATTAAAGAAGTTAGGTAAGTTAGTTAATTATAAGAAAAGTGACACATTTTTTCTAAAATACTACAATCATCTTTCTTAATACCCCCTCTCCTCCTTCTACTTGATTATGGTTGAGGGAGTATCCATAGGGGTAATTTAGAGAAAATTAATAAATATGAGAAATGGGTCTTATATTTAGAACGAAAACCAACTTAAGAATTGGGTCCTATATTAAGGACCGGAAGAGTATTAATTAGCCAACTGAGCGGGTTTTGCCTCTAATAAAAATTCAAACTTTTTAATTTATAGCACATCTTTTCCTTCATTAAATTCAGGTTTAGCTTGGTTCACCAAACAAAGATATGAGAAAATTTTAAAAAAATATTTGGCATCTGCTTCAATAAAAAATTTAGGTGTCAAAAAGTGGCTGAGCAAGTCTAAGAGGGTGGTGGTTATTAATGCTAAATCAATAACTAGCCCTAAATGAATTCTAATCCAAAATTTCAAATCTCTTATATCCACCCACTAACATTAGTTTTAAGCCCAAAAAAAAAAAAACCGATAAACGGTTTAAATAAAATCTGCGGCCTTCACAGGTTTGCTTGTTGACACGAATGCCAACATGTTAGTTGAGGACGTCTTCTTGGTTCATTAATGAAATCAGGTCAACATGATAAAGCTATCTAACCACCTTGTATCCGTACTTAAATGACTAAAGACAGACAAACACACGCACAAACGCATAAAAATAGAACGGCGTGTCAATTGAAAAGTTGCTAAATAAGACGATAAGGAGGGACTGATGAGAAGGAATTGACATAAAAATAAAATGATGAGCCAAGGACATAGAAAGCACATATTACAATTAAACACCTCTTGAGGTGTCTGAGAAGTTATAAAAGTACTTCTTAAAAAATATTTTTTTATATATTTATTTCGTATGTTGTAAAATTATTTTTAAAATTATAATTTCATTTTTATTCAAATACCCTTTAACTATCTTTCATCAGTGTTCAATCATATTAAATAGAACGTGTCGCCGTTGTTTGTAGTCACTCTCGGCTTTGTTATCGTCCCATATATAATGCAATTATTACCAACCGATCCAAAAAAAAAATTAAAAACGAACCGTCCAAAGAACACTGAAAGTCCACAATATCCTTGTCATAAGACCCAAGTCAAAAATAAAAAAAATCTAAATATGATAGTCCTAATTAATATGAGTTTTCAATTGAAGGTTAAACGAAGCGACAAAAACTAAAAGGAAAGAAAGCATAAAAGTTACTCCTCTTGTTCTATTTATAAGGTAGAAAAAGAAGATATTTTTTAATCCTATTTATAGGATACTGAGAGAAATTTTTTATATGGATGTACAATTTTATTCGTCATTTATTATTGTGTTAACTTTGTTTGTATGAAGCATAATGTATGTTAAATAGGGATAAAGTTAAAAAGTTATTAAATTTTAAATGAGAGTTAACGAAATTTAAGGTTTTTCTTAGTCTGTATGAAATATGCTGAAAGTATTTTATAAATAGGATCAGAGGAGTATTTACGTATCAAAAAATGTAAAATTCTATTATTATTATTATGAATAATTTTCCATCAAGTGTTTCAAAATTTTACTACTCAAAATTGATCTTGCCATGGTTACACTTTCATATTGCTCAAAAGAAAGAGATTGTATATTTAAGGGGTGTTTGAATAAAATTAAAACTATAATTTTAAAAATATTTTTACGCTATACGAAATAAATATATGAAGAAGTTTATATTGGTTTGTAAAAAAAATTCCTAAAAAACACTTTTCTTACTGTCCAAACACTTTTTTAATATAGATTTATGACAGTGACATAATAATCAGATATGATTGTCGCCAAAGAAGAAAAATCTTGCTCTCCAAGAATGCCATTGTTCAGAAACAGAGAAACAGAAAGCCACGTATGAATAATTTTATACGGAAGATTTCATCAGCCTTATTTAAAAAAGGGAAAACCATATTGGAGGTACCTATACTTTTTTTAATTTTCAATTTGGTATCTATATGTTTTTTGTTTTTAACTAAATCTTTATTTTTCCTCTATTAACATCATTAATCCTTATGTAGAGACTAAAAATATCAATAGAACAAAGTTATAAGAGCTAATGTTGCTAAAAAGATAAAACTAAATGTTTAATTAAAAGGAAAAAACACATAGGTACCAAATTAAAAATTGAGAGAAAATATAGGTACCTTCAATATGGTTTTTCCTTTAAAAAAATCGCGTCTTCTACTGCAGTTATTAGTTAATTTTTGGGGGGAAAAAACTTCGTACGAAAGTCCATGGATTGAACAACCAGGCATTAGATATTTAGATGTGGGGGAAGTGAAAGGTTGACGGGTTCTAATCAGAGTTGGGTGAGACAGATGGACAAGAAGTTGTATGTAACATCTGAGGGGACAGCACTGAACAATCACAAGACTTAGAGACCCTCGTTCACATCACCTTTTTTGTAATTTTTTTGGCCAAAATTAGTTTTGAAAAAATTAAAAAAAAAAGTTACAATAAAAAAATTACACAGAGAGACTTATTCGCAAAAATTATTATCAAAACCTGCGTTAAAACCTATACTAATAATCTAATATCATCCTGGGCCTTAATTTATAATTTTCTTATTTTGACAGTCTTTTTTGTTATTTTCCCAATATCATATTAATTCTCTACCGACACAAAAGAACCCAACGTATTCGGTAGGTAGAAAATCCACTTGTCGTCATATAAACTGGTGTTTATAAAAGGTTTGATAGAGCTTGTAATTTTGGACTGTTAATATTCATTCTTTTTATTTTTTATTTATTTAAGAAAACATTGGGCCAAATACCCAAATAAAATTCTCTCCCCCACCCGCTCTACTTCCCATGGCAATCTGTACTGATTTTATGATTCCCGTTCACTTTGTGTTCTGACAGGAAGCCTTCAATGCTGGAGGCTGGTAGCTGGGAAATATTCAATATGTATTTTTCTTCTGCTTTTCTGTGAAGATTGAATCAAACGTCAATATTAGCTAAAACGTCTATTAAAAGATTGCTGAGTGAAGAAAAAATTATTCGCAATTAAATCAAATTTAGCATCTTTTAGAGACGGCAAAAAAATTAGCATGTTCCAGAAATCTCTCAAAAATGGTATATATAACCGAACTTCAATTAATTCAGAAAGAATACTGTTTTTAAGAAAGTCCAGGGACTATTTTCTCCCCTTGGGATCCAATAGTCCTTGCTTAAGCATGTTGTTTGCTCTCCTTGTTGCCTACGGAAACTTGCAAATTAGAACCTTGCTCACATTTGTATATATGGACAACACTATTTTTACAACAAAAAAGAAAAGAAATCAAACAACACAAAGGTTCTTACGTTTGTATTTATCTTGTTCCAAATGAAAGTGAGTTTATTTGTCTCAACAATACCCTCATTTTTAACCTTACCATCCGTGGCTCCACCTTCGTCCCGCCACAGCCTCTGCCCCACCGACGCTGATCCTCCGTTGCCGACATCTGACGGCGCCCTATTCCGATTCCTCTTTGTTCAGATATGGGTGCCAACTCCATCGCCAACCTCACCTCCATCTTCCAACCCTCTCTCCTCCTCCCTCAATCTGTCACTATACTGTCTTTTCTTTCTTCAAACTTCTTGACTTCTTCGATGACAAATCTAGTTTGAATATTATTGGCCAACTTCGTGGATGCGATTCAAGTTCGGTGCGGCAGCCTCAGGTTTTTATCCAACAGCGACGATCAAGTTCAAAGGTTTCCGACCAGGGTTGCCAGGAAAATGATTCTGCTCCATGGGAGGTTTGGTTCGTGCGGGTTCATGGCAAACCCTGGTTCTTGACTTGTTCACAGATATGTTTTTTTTTTTTGTTGGAAAATGAGCAAAAATAATGACCGTTGAAATTTGAAATGATAAAATCAGCGTGTGAATATATGAAATGACCAAATGAGTATGACTAAATGAGTATGAAGTATCAATCTGAAATTTTGATAATTTGGGTGAAAGACTAAAATGCCCTTGACCCTCTCTGAAGACATGAACATGTGGTAACTCTCAATATGAAAGTCGTAATTCACATTACAAATATTGTCATTATCATTATTAGGGTAGTAAAATTGGTTCCAAATACATGTTACTTGGATTTGAAATAAACGAATTGTAAAGGGCAATAGCGAAATGATAATTTTCATTACGAAAGTTGTAATTTATATTATAAATATTGTCATTATCATTATCGGAATAGTGAAATTGGTTCTAAATACATATTACTTGGATTTGAAATAAACAAATTGCAAATGGCAATAGCGAGATGGTAACTCTCATTAAAAAAGTTGTAATTCACATTATAAATGTTGTCATAATCATTACCAGGGTATTGAAATTGGTTCCAAATACATGTTATTTGGGTTTGAAAAAAAAGAGTTGCAAATGATAATTGCGAGATGGTAACTCTTATTATGAAAATTATAATTCACATTACAAACGTTGTCATTATCATTATTAGAGTAGTGAAATTGGCTCCAAATATATGTCAGGGGTATTTTAGTCCTTCTATCAAATTGTCAAAATTCCAGATTGATATCTCACGCCTATTTAGTTATTTCATATGTTCGCATGCCTATTTTATTATTTTAAATTTCAACAGTCCTTTTTTTTTTGCAGCTTAAGTTTTCCCATGCTTTCTCAAAATATGGTTCTTATTCAGGCCCAAAAAAAAAGATATGGTTCTTATTTATTTTTGAAATTTTGGATTTTTTTTTTCTTGTTGAAAAAGACGTGGTCGAGGGGAAGATGAAATTGAGAGGGAGACATGTCCATTTTTCCTTAGGGGCAATATAGTCGTTTTGTATGTCTGGCTTTAGTTACCAAATTTTGCACCGGACAAAATTCTTTTGTCATTTTCATTTCCAGTTCCTATGAAAATGCTTCCAATGAACCAAACGAGGCCTTACACTGTGAAGGAAGATGGAGACGGAAACAAAGTCGATCTGAAATCCTTGTCAGGAAGGAAAAGAGAGTGAAGTCTATTGTTTGAGATGATATTTTCGTGTCCACGAGATTTGTATTTGACATTTCCAGTTACAGTTTCTCCTATTATTACAGTTTTTGGGTGCTCCCATCACAAATGCCCAGAAAAGTCCAAATCGGCAACAGATTGCAGTACGTAATAAATAAAAGGCCCTCCTGCTTCTTGCATCGTCTCCCACATCGTGCCCCTCTGTAATTTCGTCCTCTTAAAGTTAAGCGGTCTTGGGCTCAATTTCCGGCACCACCACCTCTTTAAAGCTAGCGGTATCGCGGTCAGTTTGCGACAGCGCCACTAGCTTCTCCGTTCTGGGTCACGTTTTTGCCGTTCTAAGCTTGTTTCCATTTGCTTTACATAAAGTTACCCAAACGGTTCTCCATATGTATGGCCGACGCCAAAGATTCCTTCATGCTTGACGCTAAATCTCCGAAAGGATCATTTCCTCCTCCAACTCCTCAACCTCTATCTCATCACAAGCATTTCCTTATGGCTCACGAGATCCTTCGACTCTTGGCCATCCTGCTTTCCGGAGCTTCAATTGCAGTCATGGTCACCAATAGCCAAACTGTTACCATCTTCTCGTTCCAGTACGAAGCCCATTACTATTACTCCTCTTCTCTCAAGTAAGATTCGCATCTCAATTTCAACCCCAATCCAGTTTCCAGTTTCGTTTCGAAAAGATAAGAATTATTTCCTCTGTTTTTCTTCTCCCCGTTGTAACAGATTCTTGGTCGCTGCAAATGGCATAGTCTGTGGCTTTTCTCTGCTTACACTCATCATGAGTCTCCTTCTGCTGAGACGTCAGGGATCGTTGCAACGCCCTTACGCCTTCTTTTTCCTGATTCTGCACGATATAGTAATTTCTTTAAAATTCTCTTTGACTTTTCCCTTTAATTCAATGATCAAAGAGAACAGGTCTGAAAATTGCACATTAGCGGTTTGATTAATATGTAATCTTTTTGCAGTTTCTGACGGTGCTGATTATATCAGGATGTGCGGCGGCAACTGCAATAGGATACGTCGGTCAGTATGGAGAATCGCATGTGGGATGGCAGGCCATCTGTGACCGAGTGCCCAAATTCTGCAAAAGAAACATGGTCTCCCTCTTTCTCTCTTATCTGGCTTTCTTTGCCTATCTGGGACTTACTATTTTAATGGCTTACAAGCTCATGTCTTCTCCTCCTAAGAACTAGGTTCAAAGCATTGGTAGATTATACAGCCTTTCCTAGTTACTTGTATGTTGCAGAAATTGAGATTTTTTCCCCTTGTGTCTGTTTCGGTGCTATAACAGCGATGTTAATGTTTAGTGACTATGGATAGTATTCAATAACTGTCGTAGAGAAACAGATATTATCATATATCAGCCACTTCAACCTTCATTAATTACATGGCATTAACTTGATCTTACGTTTTCAGTTTCATAAGATAAGGTTCCCTGTGACTGAAATTGTTCATTGACGACTTATTAAGATGCCCTCTTTGTCGGGGCAGCAGGCATGAGGTTTGACCAGAAATTAAATAAACTCATTGAAAACTACTTTGTCGTTTGTATTTTTTTGCGGTTACTCTTTTTCTGTGGAATAATTTCGGGATCATGTGCTGGAAACCTTGGTAAAGACGCAGTAGATTATTTACATGCGACAATTGTTTACCGAGAGCAAGGGATATGGCAATCATGTTGGCAAAATTTGGTAGCAATACTACTTTTCATAGAAACTGGATTCAAGCTCTGTGCTCAACTTGTTTGGATTTGTTCCCTTTTTCAAAGTTCATGTAACCATAGGAGAACTTTTCTTTCCAGGCGAGATAACCGCTAAATTATTGAAAACTATTGCAGCTTGATGAGGCTAAACTTTAAATGATCCATTTGTCAGATGCATAGTTTTTTTGTTTGGTCAATAGGTACAAGATTTATATGAAGAAGAAGATTAAGTTTAGTTAATCGATATAAACAGGAATCAGATAACTTATTTAGACATTCTAACTCGTCAGATTCTGATAACCGTAGCATTATTGATGTTGGGAGATGACATTTTTGTTTGGAAGCTGGACATCGATAGGGGAAATAAATATCATTACTTATGCAAAAGACAAATCAAACCAACTAAGCACCAACCGAACGAGGAGAGCTACAGAAAGCGAAAGGGACCTTACGTGTCCTTAAAATATTCGTTAGTTCTGCTTCTGATTGTTAACTTAGAAGATAGGGTGATGCTTGATGGTGATTGGTGACCATCGCAAAAGCTCGTGAACATAAAAATCAGTCACCCGCTTGAACCAATTTTTTGACGCAGTTTCGACACCAGAAATTCTGGAGGAACGTTGAAAAGTTTTGTGATTGACGTAGAAATTGAAGTCATGAAGTACTGATCTACCATTCTGAGGCAAGCTTTTAACGTATAGGTGTTTGACATTGTTAAGTAGGTGATCATTCAATTCAACTACAAATGGAAAGAGCGAAGGCTACTTAAGTGTATCATTCGGTTGGGATCTCATCTGCACCATCTTTAAGGGGCTGCCCAAGAGTTTCCCAGTTTTTAGTATCCCATGCTGGATCCATTTGAGGCAGTTCATAATCATCTGGACTTAATGACAATTGGAATTCTGGTAGTTCAGGCAATTCTTGGATACCCCTGCATCATCACAAATGTCCTAAGTCATGAAGAGTCACTACATCATCTTTTAAAGAAATCAGGTCTTTAGGTAGATGTTACGGAACTAAATTAAAAAAAGAAAGGAAGAGAAGGAAATCTGTTAGAACATGAGGGAATATAAAACTTGTTGTCTAAGGAAGCTATGAGGAGAATCTCCTATACTTAACATGATATTCTACTGCTCCACAATCCATACATATACGGCACGTAGAAATGACTTGGTAGGACACTTGGCACGCGGGACATCACTTGGCTCTTAGACAGTTGACATCCGTACTAAAATACATAATCACTTGACACACGGCATTGTAATTGACAGCAACACATGGAAACATAACTACCTATGACATGAACATTAATAAACGGCTATTCAGGTTAAGAAACCATACTAATACATAATTTTTACTTTTTTAAGGCATCCCTTGATTATCTGATGTGCTTGTACCTCCTCGTATATGTATTTGGATAATATGAGGAACCGTATCAGAAGAGTACTAATTCAGTTATCTACAAGGCAGAAAGGAAGAGTCTTACTTCTCTCGCTCCAAGAGGTGCCCATGCGTCTGAGACTTGCTTGCTGCAATTTCAGGAATTTTCTGATGCAAACGCTTCATAACGCCCCAGAGGGGAGGAGCCCTTTACAAGGAAAAATTAAATATTAAGAAGAAAAGGGTGAATCGCATGATATAATCAAAAAGACCAAAACCAACCTGGTCACTGGAGCTGCAAGGCAAAAGCTTAAGCAGGCCTTCTTGCTCTCTGCTAGAAGTTCTTCTGAAGCAAGAAAACAAGATACAGCACCGATATGACTTGTTGGTTCATTGCCCTTGTCAAGGATCAGACCATGGTAGTAATAGGCTGCAGCCTGAAGTCACAATATTGTACAAATGTTCACTAACACATCATCTGTATCACTAGACATAACATGCGATTTTCTAATGTTGATATTTTTCCTCCTCTATCCCTTTTAAATATAAGAGTTCAGTGTTGACTGTATTATGGACCTTAGCTTCCAGGAATTTCCATTTTATGAACCGGATATGCTTCTTCCCATACCCTTTGTTCAAGGCACATCCCAACAAGCAGTGATAAGCCTGCACTTGAAAGTGATACAAAGAAAGTCACAATATGATATACTACGGACTTCTATGCGTCTGGTTCTAAAAGGACTATTACTTTAGCCAGAAGGTTCTGAAGCAAAATGAATTGCGCTAAAACTAATGGGTTTAATTAAGTTGATGCTCAAAGGAGTGCAGGGAAGACCTGACTAAAATAGGTTACTTGTTCACATGCCAACCTCCTCTTCACAGACAAAGTTGCCTTCTGATCCTCAACAGCAAGACCAAGCTGAATTTCAGTCACCTGAATTGTCATCAAGAGATGAGATATTATGTCTGTGTATCCATTGCTTAATGTTCTATACATCATATTAATTGTAAATTATTAAATATAACTGGCGCTAGCTTGTGGCTTGTTTTGTAAGATATCGACCAAAGGCCACCTTTTAATAAAAGTCCTTCGTGCTTTTCAGCATAAACTACAAACATTTGCCCCTCTTCCCCAAAAAAAAGGGAAAAAAAATCTGCAAACACATTGTGCTATCCGAATTGCTGATACGTGATTTTTGCAACTAAATAAGAGATATAAGCTAAAATGCACCTGTCCCAGTGCTTGAATGGAAATAGCTTCCAAGACACCATCCTGCAAGTCGGGGGGTAAAGTCTTCCTGGATGTTATTCAGAAAAATCTTAATGTTGTGTTCAAAACCTGTCCAATACTTATGTAATATATATAGAGTAACAAAAGAAGTACGAATTTGGATGAAATAGAGAGAAATAGAACATTCTTTGGAATCTACATATGCAGAGGTAGGGCCCATTGTTTTCTTCATATTTCTCTCTATTTCATCCCATGAAATATTCCTGAGGAGCCAAATTAATGGACGTACTTGACCTCGTGTGGCATGTGAGAAAGAACATTCCTGACACAAAACTCCAGGTAACCTGATGCCTTAAGTAACAAATCAACTGCTTCCCTCTTATTCTCTGGCATTAGAAGGGCAAAAAAAAAAAAAAAAAAAGAGCACGATCACTCTTTACATTAACTGGATCTGAAGTTCAAGCATATGACTTGCGAGGAATGGAAATAACCTGAAGATACAACTCTTATTCCAGAACTTGAGTGGTCTTTGGGAATCATCAGGGAGTCTGCCTCAGACAATGTCAGCATTGCCATGAGATGAACCGCAGAGATCACCTCAAACCAAGCACTAGGTATACAGCTATCCTATTAATTACACTTAACCTGGTTAACACTTAACAGCACCATAAATTCTCAATGTCGAAAGAAACTCTAAAAGTGGGTTTGCTCAGAATCATACTTGTCGCCCCTCCTCAAAGTTCTTCCACTTGAACTCGATCAGTCCCTCAAGACCATACTCTTACATAACGGGGGAAAAAATTCAAAGTTTACGATCCATTTGGGAGAAGGAAAAAGAAAGGAAGAGAGATGCGAGTTAGTTTGTGGAACCTTTCTTAGTAAGCCCAATCAGAACAGCCAAGTATTCTCTCAAAGTTCGCTGCAGTTCTGCTATTGCTGATCCTCCTGCAACTCATTCTCGAGATAATTTAGATTTTCATGTGATTGTTTATGATTGAAAAAGTAGTATTTCATTAAGCAAGTTCTCACCAGTATCCTCTGCCACCAACACTATCTGATTTCGAAGGGATGACAATTTATCGGCTAGTTCACGTGGAATTACCCCTCTAAGAGCCCTTTGAAGATCAATTTGTACTGGAATTCTGATTGACGGAACAAAGACCGCCACTTCAGGGATGCTTGAAGATTTCTTTCTTCCAAGTGCACATGCAGAGTAAGTGCAGCCCATGTCTTTTGGGTAAGGAATTTTTTCAAGCATAACATCCTGCATAAATAAACCATCCACGTTCATAAGTAAAGTCCGAGAAAGTGGTTGTGTGGTGCAAAAATGAGCATTGATAGTCGAGATATGGGCAAGTGGAGGACTTGAAAATAAGCATAGTTGGCACATTTAAGTTTCATTGCTATGATTGAACTCTTCTGAAGTGGGCGAGAAAACTACTCATAGTTTTTATGACATGCATTGATTGAAATTTCTGGCGTGAACTTGCAGGTGAAAAATGAAAACAATTAAACCCTCGTCATGTGGGGGACAGACATCCTAGTGAAAGCAGTTGAAGAAAAATCAGAAGCTCATAACTAAAAGCCCAAATAAGGGATGAGAGACAATGGAATATAAAAGAACAGTCGATCAAGTTACAGCGAGAAGAGACAAGGTAATAATTTTGATGAGAAAGAAACTTGGGATCCATGACTTACAGGGTGGAGGAAGTGTAGAAGCAGAGGGAGGAGGAAGCGAATGTTGGAAGAAGGAAAGAGGATGTTAATATGGGCAACCAAGTGGCAAAGTGAAACGCAGGACCTGGGAATACGAAACTCAGGAATCGAGGCATATCTCACATGGGAATAGCGTACAACTCTCTCAAGTTTCTGCTTCGTTAAAAGGAGCAACCGAGCAAGTGACTTATGTGTCCGATAAAAGTGGGGAGAAAGGTGAGTCCTATAACGTAAGGTCAAAAGTCAATGATTCAATCCTAGGTTTAAAGATTAAAATACTAAAGATCATACTAAACTTACACGCCTGTTCATTGTATGCAACCCGGCCGGTGGCACTGCCATTCTGAAGAAACAGAAGCAAGTGAGTCGTAATCTTAAAATTTGCAATAGCAATAATAGTGTAATAATATCATAAACACCACGTCACCTCTTGGCAAATCTCTAGAGCCACTTTTTATTTTGTCTTCTTGCCTCAGCATGGGTTCCAAAGTCAACTACTAATTACATTTTCATGAATTGGCAAAAAGAAAAAAAAATTACTTCGTGAAGAAAAATGAAAAAGTGAAAGAAAATAGCAGATGCCATTGAAAAATAATGTCAACATGAGATGTTAGAAACATGCAGCATTTTTCATTCTTAGATTGCACAATATAAACTTGGGGTCCCTAGGCATGTTTGAGGCGACTTAGAAATCAGTTCCCTCCGCGTCTTTGAAGTTTTGTAGGATGACATGTTTTATTTAAATCATTATTGTGAAATGTATATGGTTGATACTATTAGATCCACCCTTTGATTTTAGTTGATCATTTAACGATTTTGATTATCATAAAGGATCTTAAATTGTTTCAATCAAATTCGTGGAATTATTATAGCTAGTTAAAATATTCTTTTGACTGTAGCAATTGAAATAATCTGAGATTGGCAAAGAGACCAAGCAATCGTAGGAAAGCTAGAAAAATGATCATTGCATGACTAAGGAAAAAAGCTAAGGCTACATAAACGCATGCAAATGATAGAAGATGTTGAAGACAATATAAATATATCAGCCCCCAACGTTCAGATTATGGTTCAATATGATGTATAAGAAGCATGAACATAGATAAGAAAACAAGGAGAACAAAGAAAACACACTGTGCAATATACTTTATATTATGAGAATTTACAAGTTTGTGATATGTTCTGCTTATTAAGTAAGAGCAAACCAAACAAATCTTGATCATACACCTGTAATGGTTCTGAGTGAGCTGTGAGAAAATCATGTAATTAGTTATGAGTAAGCCATGCAGAAACCCTGAAAGATTGAATCGGTTGCATGCAAGTTCATTAACCTATTCATTCTTAACAATGTTTGTGAGATCTTGACTCTAACATAAGATGGACATGTTATTGCACAGTCAATGGTGTTTCCCTGCTCAAGCTTCTGGTTCCAGGGGTATTGTCAGGAATCCGGATTGTGTCCTATTAGTTTTTTTCCCCTCTTTGTAAGGACAAAAGAGGCCCAAAATTTTTTCAATCATCTTCTGGTGTCTAGTCAAAAAGCGGACAGTTCTGTTTCACAATATGGGAGAAGCGGGCGTGGGGGAGTCTTAAAGGGTGAAGCAAACAACTAGATATGTGGTTTTGTAAACTCACTAATGTGGCCCCATGATTGCTGAAGTAATTAGTATCATTCATGGTCTCAACATCTGCTGCAATAGGAATTTTAAGAAGATCCTTCTTTATTTGAACAGCTTGGAGGCTGTCAACCTGGTCACCAGCGGGTGTAAAGGCCAACATTCATCTAAAGATGTTATTGATGATGCCAAATGTATCTTTAACGGGGATTTGCAGGTTAAGTTTCAACATGTATATAAGGATGTAAACCTCTTAGCTGATTACTCAGTTAAATTTTCGTAAAGTCTTGCTAGTTTTTTTCGAATCTTTGATCAACTTTCTTTTCTTTTTTTAATCGAGACGTGAAAGGTGACGGGGGAGCTTAAGTTTTTTCATTGTTAATTAGCGTTTGTTATTGTATAGTTTGTATCCAGGTTTTTTTTATTCCCAAAAAAAAAAAATCTTTCTGATGTCTTGGTCCATTGTCTTCTTCTCTAATGAAATTGTCACTCCCCGCTGGATCCGAATTTTTCTTTTATTTTGTGGTATGAAATTCGAGTTGTTCTGATGGTAATTTAAAAATAATAGGAGTCCCTATTCTTTTCAATATTTTTAATTTTAATAAATATATTAATATTAATACCTTAAATTGATATTTATGCTGATGCGGAGAGACCTTTTAAATATGAAAAATAAGCAAAAGATTGGGAAAAAAAAAAAAGCAAGAGACTGAAAAAGTGAAGATTAACAAATTTGTGGTTCTTAGAAATTAGAAAATTGTAAGATAGGAGATGATTAAAAACTATTATACGGAAGAGTTTGGAGGAATTACTTCTTTTGCTGGCAACATGACAAATACACGGATGAATGGACCGAATAAATTACATTTAGATTCGAAGGATATAACATATGTCGGAAATATATATTATGTCATCGTATGTTTCTTGTGCTGTTAATTTTAATTTTAAGTATTTTTCATGTCAAAAAGAATTTTTAATTTATAGTAGTATATTATTATCTTTAAATTTAAGAGATAAGATTGAAATTAAAAATTTTAGGCAAAAAATTGAAATTAAATATTTTTTAAAAGAAACGAACCGGGGAAAAAAAAAAAACATCTAGATCTTTTCCAAACAATCTTCCTTGGGCGGATCCATGTGGATCCAAACCCTAAACAGAGTCGTTGGTCATAAACTCGGTCTAAAAACAGATTCAACACCCAGTCCCACGATTCAATTCATATCAGAGCCGGAGTCACCAACCCAGAAATCTGTCAGATGGCCGATCTAATCTTCAAATCTCTGGTTGCCCTTGCGCTCTTTGCTTCCTCATTGCTATGCTCATCACTTGCTGGTGCTAGCTCAGATGTCCCTTTCATTCTGGCTCACAAGAAGGCCACCCTTAACAGGCTCAAGTCTGGAGCTGAACGCGTCGCCGTCACCATCGAAATCTACAACCAAGGAACTTCGTATGTTCCCTTCTTGGCCTTCTCTTAATCCGATCTGTTTATCTTCAGATTCTTATGGGTGTTAATTTTCATAATTGCTTAGATCTCAATTTCCCGCTCCCATGCATGCTTTGATTGATTGTCAGAAATTGAGCTTTTATGTTGAAATTACTAAGCATTTGCATTTACTGTTTAATCGCCTAACGCGCTGAGAAAAGGAAATTCGGAAATGATCGGTCAATTGGGAAGATATAAACATCTGAAGCGCGAGGTTCAGTTCATAAGCAACTAGGCATCGTGATTCATGCATGATTCTTTTGTTGGCATGAGCTTATGACTCGATGGACCATCGATTGGGGGAAATAGTTTTGTCTCTCTCTTGTTTCAATTGGAATTTCAATTCGTATTCTGATGGAATATGTAAAAGGCCCATATGTCAAATGGAGTAATACAATCTGAAACCATTAAAGTAACAACGGCTCTGAGAGAGATATGCAAAGGAGGAATGGAGTCAAGGGATGCTCTTATACCCGTCTGATCTGGAATTTGGTCCTTTTTGCACTTTGTTATTCCACTTCTGCTGTTAGCCTCAGAGAAATGCTTTTAAATTTCTATTAAGCGTGGTGTTATTAGGTAGTTCTAGTCTAGGTGAAGACATGCAAGTAAAGCATTCTTAACAGCAGAAGTGAGAGGTCTCAATTTTTGGACGAGTTCGCACAAGTGAATCTTTTGATGTATTTATCAAGTATATTGTGGATTGTCGCCCAAAACTTATGTAATCAGTAATCTGCCCTTCAATTTTATCTATTTCTACTTTTCTGTTGAACTTACCCGGTTTTTACTATATTTTTTCCCTGGAAGGACGGCGTATGATGTAAGTCTAACGGATGATAGCTGGCCAAATGATGCTTTTAATGTAGTCAGTGGTAGCATGTCGAAGACATGGGAAAGGCTTGATGCGTGAGTTTTATATTGCTTATTATAGCCTTCACCAATCTAGATTGCCTTCTCTCACTTCTATTCTGTAGTCCTTCTATCTTCTGAAAAGCATACTATGCTGCTTTCAGTGGTGGTATTCTGTCTCACACATTCGAATTGGAGGCCACACAAAAGGGAGTCTATTCTGGTGAACCAGCGGTTATTAAGTTCCGCGTACCCACAAAAGCTGCTTTGCAGGTTCTCTATCTTTTGGCACCGTTTCTCTTTGTTCTTTTCTGGTGGACAAACCTTTCTCGTTTTGCTGATTGCTTTCCTTTAGGAGGCGTATTCAACTCCTATTCTTCCTTTGGATGTTCTTGCTGACAGACCTCCCGAGAAGAAGCTGGATTGGGTATGTATCTGGTACACTTGTTAGTTTCATGAACCAATCTCAATTTACATGACAACTCCTTATGCTGACCGAATTTTTTATTTTTCATTTTTAATTTTTTGGTGCTTCCATGGAATCATCGATTGGATCCAATTTCTCAGGTTAAGGTATGGACAATTTTTTTGGGGGGCTATTTGTACTTGCAATTTCCAAACTTTTGTCTTAATTATATAATTTTGAAGACGTGTTACCTTTGCCAGTAAAAGAGTCAAGCATGTCAACATGAGCAAAATGATCTCGTTTACCTTTCTGGTGCTACCCTATTTAGGCGTGAGGAACATATAGATTGATTAGTTGTGTGCTTGTTGATATGTGGGGGAAAAATAGGTTTTTTTTTTTAAAAATTTATTGGTACTTGAACTTTCTCTGCCTTGGGGCTGAAGAAACGCAACAAACTTTTATCTTCATAATGTTTTTATTCTTTTTGGCGGCTTGCTTGATGTGTCATTTTAAAAATAAATTCATTATATTAATGTTCAACTTTTAATGTGCGCAGAAATTGCTTGCAAAGTATGGATCTCTTATCTCCGTGATCACCATCGTGGTTCTGTTTGTGTACCTGTTAATTACACCATCAAAATCCAGTTCAAAAGCAAGCAAGAAGAGGCGTTAAACATTGACAGATTAATACATTTGCAATCAGACATTTTGAAGCTAGAGAATGCTAATCTGTCAGTTGTTAGACTTTACCTAGAGAGCATAAGATGTTGGTTTCTTTGGTTCTTATTTGGCTGGTGCGACATGTTAGAAATTTTTTTTTTTTGAATGACTTATCAACAACGAGTTACTGAGAGAGAACGAATTAATTTATCTGCGTAGCCTGAACCGGTGTTTTCAGCTTTCACTGTGGATGATATCGATATGTCGCTGGCTGAGTAGACCTAGTGATCCCCCGATGGTATTGCTTTCTGCTTTGATGATTTCCTTGCCACTTCTTCATTAAGTAATGAGGTGTTTGGTGAGTTTGAAGAGGAAGGTGAGGAAAAGAGGTTGGGGGTTTTGCCGTATGGTAGGTTGGAGGGGAAAATATTTACGGATTCGAAGCTTGTTATTTTGACGCATTCTTCATTTTATCCGAATTTGAGTTGAGTTACTGTTCAATTTATACTGAAAATCATAAATTTTGAAACTAAATGAGCGATTTAATATTTTGTTGTCACGTTGCAAATCTTGAAGTTGTCTGATGAATTAGATATTGAGCTTGTATTTTACAGAGATTTATAACCTGTAAACCATGTATTTTTTTTTTAATTGCCAAAAGAAGTATTCATTCATTCAAAGTAAACAAGATTACAATCACCAATCTAAACAAAACTAACCAACAAGACAACAAACTTCAATCCTTTAGCTACAAAAAAACTCGTTGAAACACTAGAAGATGAAAAAGTACAACAAAACAAATTCACATAGTACATCAAGGACAACAAACTCACTGTATAATTTTGTCTTGGAATCTATGAAAAAGGTGGAAAGGGGTGGTTGTCCATTGACTTGTTTAAAATTGAGTTCAAACCTTTATAAACTAATGCTGTATATTTGTTAGCAGTTTTAACAGTCCCTCTCAAATGGAGAGGGAAAGAAGAACACTAACATGGACTTTACTGAGGCTATAACAACACAATATTTTTATTACAAAAGCCAAAAGATAAATCCTGTTGATTAGTTGTTGCTGCAAAAGTATCAAGATAGCAGAGCAATCCTCACCTCCTGGTGGAACCCATCTTAAATCCTCTTTTATCCTTTGAACAATCATTGCAAAGATTCCAAACAGTCTTCCATCCCAAATAAAGCAAGCCGATAATAAAATTGCAGCAAGTTTAAGCTCAAGAAATCCACCATCAAAGTTAGAGTTACAACCCAAGCTATTACCATATTCATTAAAGTCAAAACCAGAGACTCTATTACACCACATATATCTGCCACTTCAATGCAATAAAATCGGCACAAATATTCAATCAATCTCACAGAAATAATCTCCAGGAAATCATACCATGTTGACTCTAAGGATTGGTTAAACATAGCATAACTCCTTGTCTGATTGCTCATTTCCTCCTCCAAAGTCCATTGCCCTTGATGATTGGCATTTGCAAAATCAAAAATCAAATATAGAACTAAAGTTCAATAGCCTTGCTGTCGGGAGGTTTCTTTCAACATCCATTCTGATTGCTCATCAAATTCAGATCGATTGAACAATGTTCTTGATGTGCCTCTTATCTGATAGGAATCACTCATCAGAAATACATCTTCAATCGGCCATGAATATTTATCGATATTTTGATTATACTTGATATCCTTTGAATTCTTCATCGCGATCAATAAACTTCGCGGCCTCAAATGTTCTACAACTTCGACTAAATCTTGACCTTCACACAATAGAATAAGGTCATGGTTCTTTGCATCGTGCTCCGATTTCCTTGATCCATAACCGAGATTCTCATCCCCAGTCCCTGATCTCTTCACTAATGGCTCAGAGCACTCTGTTTCCCTTCTATCCTTTGACATCTCCAAACCTCCTTCTTATCCCCAATCAAATCCATCCAATCTAGAAAATGATGCAAACCAGATCTCATACTCACAACTAACGCGCACACACTGCCGAACACTTTCCCCCAAATGCGATCAAAGAGAGGTGCCAGAAACCTAGCTCTCACAAAGGAGAGGAACAAACTCCCACAAAGGAAAAAACCCTAGGAGAGAACTGATTGTAAACCACGTAACTTGTCATGAATTTTTTTTTTCTTTTTTTTTTTTAATTTTATTTATTCGGGAGAAAGTTTGTGCTAAATTTCCCCACTGCACGGAGTTTCAAATCCCACAGTGAACAACGCAGAAAAGTAGAAGGATGTGCTTTTCAATGAGTTCAGTTTTTCAGCTTTCAATAGCTCTCTCTGTAGTTACAGCTCTAGTAATTTCGTCGTTCAGGCTTGTGACATTCCAGATGAGATTTCTTCCGGGGGACCATCCATTAGCTTTGCATTACGTATTCAAGTGCGATTCTCAATTTCTCATACACTTGCATATCCATCTGATTGAAAAAAGCATAAAAAGAAATTCTCACGAAGCCAGTCGCTTGCAGCGTTCAAAGCTATTATGACGTGGTGGTCATAGGTATGGATAATGTGGCAGGCTGAAAGTTCAAAAAATAAATAAAAAAATCTGCCAGGTCTCTCAATTTTGCTCTAAGCCATAATTAATTATTTTAAGACACCAAATCTAATTTTTCCTAAAGTTTAAAAAGGTTACTGGGCGGATGGGGGGGAAAAGGATCCTGGGACGCATCATTCGTTCTAAAAGGAAAAATAAAAAAATAAAATAAAATAAAAGTAAGATGGGTGCTCTTTCTTCTCTTATCGTATTGCAACGCCCAAGACCATAAAAGCCAAAACACGAAATGGTCGGGTGCGACAAGCATACGACGTCGCTTTTGGGGTCCAGTGGCACCTGATAAGGGGCTGATCAACCTACCCGATGGCGGGGTTTGTGAGACTATTCCTTCGTGATCTTCCTCTCCGGAGTCAGGCCAATGAGTAGCTACCAGAGAGTCCCTCAAGAAGCCTACCCTCCTCCAGGTAAGATTCCCGATATCCCTCTACGCTTTATTAAATTAATTCACAATAAACGAAATCTTACCTTTCCCGCTTTCAATTCTGCCTTTCTTGTGCCAAATTTATTATTCCAGTTTGATCATATCCATTATCAACGAAACTCGCGAATTTTATACAGGGTACGGATCTTATGCTCCACCACCGCCAGGTTACCCATCGGCGCCACCGCCGCCGCCACATGAAGGGTACCCTCCACCGCCGCCACCTGGGTATCCAGCGTACCCTCCGCCGCCGCCGCCTCAGCAATGTCCCCCGTATCAAGGTTATCAGGGTTATTTCAATAACGGATATCCGCCGCCGCCGCCTCCTCCTCCTCCCCAAACATACCAACACCATCACTGCGAACATCATTATTACGACGGGTCCACCGGTTGTGCCTCATTCTTGCAAGGCTGGTATGCATTTTACTTTAATTTATTTTATAACATGCTGAGGTTATGTATAGATAGATATGTGTATTGCTTTTGAACAGGGTCATTTTCAACTTTTATTTCATAGATGCCTTTCATAAAGTGATAAAAGTCATCCTCTCTCCTCTGTTTGAAAACTTTCTGAGAAAGAGATGATACTTGTTTATTGACGATAGCAAATATCATAAATTTCATTTTCTACAAATTAGAAGTTGATTGACTTTTACTCAAACATACCACAGTTTTTATTTTATTTTATTTTTTTTGTGCCAAATACCAAAGGTTTTTAAGATACGAGTTAAAAGGGCTTTTTCACCCTGAAATAGTTTGGAAGAAGCATTGAGTATCCTAAAGTGTTTATTTGAGCAGTGTCGCTCCTCAAGTCTCAAAATAGTTGTAATGGCACCCCTTAAGATAATAGCATTTGATTCAGGGCCTGAGAACATAATGGTGGTAATATTTAAATAACTAGACCTGGAGGCATTTTGTACCGATTTGATAACACAGATTCATGTCTCCGTCTTCATGTCTGCTAGAACTCAAACATTTATGAACTGCCTGTTTGCCTCTTCCCTCATTGTCAAATGTCAATATTGTGAGCAAATAATAGCTGGTCAATGCGTTAGCCATATTCTACTATTATGTAGCAGATTTAGCAACGCCTTTATTTGTTTCTCCAAACAACTTTGGTAACCTTAGAATTTCTTTTTAAATTGATTAATGCCTTTATGACGACCTACAGGGGAATTCATCATCTACAAGGGAAGTCGTTACTGAACCATAAATTGAACATACCTGGGGGATTAAAAGTTGAATTAAAAGTTCAAGTTGAAAAGTGGAGGATATGGTACCAATCAAAATACATAAATGAAAGAATGCTGGGATTAAGAAATGTAAATGCATTTATCCATTAAATTGCGTGAAAATTAGCAGAGTCGAGGGGCTTATGCCTGGTTCAAAATGTTAAATGTTGGCCTTCAGTTTAAACTGCTCGAGCCAATACTTGCTGATGACACTTGAGTATGCTTTCTTTCTTTTTTTTCCCCACATTTTTGTAATGCAGGGAGAGATTGGTAACAAAGTTCGTTTACGCCACCACTTTGATGTGTACTCCAATCCTAACCCAATTTCACATAATTAACTGCTTTGAATGTACAAGATTGTAACCTATAAATTTCAAATTCGCACGTCATTAAGTCAAATATGCGTTTATAGATGCATATACATTAAAACCACACTACTTGATAATTACTTATCAGTTTACTTGCAGTTGGTTTGTACGTTTTATTAATTTACTTAACAATTTCATATTGTGTTATTTGTGAAATTTGCTGGTCCTGAATTGGTCAGTTTGTCTGTCAAGAAGCTTTGTTTGGAAATCAGTTCGACAACTTTTCATCATCCCTGGTTCACGGTGAATTATGTCCAGTCAATAAAATTATCCATAATGAACTAAATAATCTAGCACCTTTTAGTCTTTTAGTGAAATATCACTTAGTATGATTCTATGGATTTATTTTGTTTCATCCTGTGATTTCCGCTGTTTTAACAAGAGATGTGAATTCATTTCTGAAGTCCTGGTCTTTTTTGAATAACTACTAGTATTATTTTTTAATTGAGTCATACTCTTCCGTTGACCGCTTGCCCAGTCTGGTTTCACGGTGGCAACTGAAGTGTATAATTCCTCCCCCCCCCCCCCCCCCTTTTTTTTTGCATGTGCAGCTTGGCAGCTCTCTGTTGTTGCTGCGTGCTGGAGGAGTGTTGCTTTTTCTGATGATCAGATTCAGAGGATTGTTTCTTTAGTTTGTTGATCTTGATTATGGCTCTCTGGAGAAATGTTGCTCGATGGTCTGATTGATATGTGTGCGTTCTGATGTCTTTGGTCATTCCTGTAATTCTTGGTCTTTTGACCCCCTCCCCCCTTTTCAACCAACTCGTGTGCATAGGTTCTTGTTCTGGTGTATGAGTCTCACTGAATGCACAGTGATATTTATTGGAAATTTATGCTGTCTAAAATATGTGGAATAACAGCCAAAGGTGTGGTTATAGATTGTTTTCATCTTTAAAGACCAATCTCTTTCCATTGTACTGGGCTTGACAGTTTTAGAAGTCACTTTTGCCAGAGGACCGTAAAGAAGGTCAAGAGAATTAGATTAAAATATGGATAACATGCCTGGCATTCCTGTTATTTCAAGAACCCATAGGCCTATAGGTGACTCGTCCATTGGAATTTTATGTCTCACTGGGGCTCTGCTCAGGAGTATCGTCATTCTGATTTTCCCAAGGGGCGGACCCCCAGTCCCCCTAAAAACCCAAAACTCGAGGCGGCTAGCGGTAACGGATCGGTCGGCGGAGAGGTTCCTGCGATGGCTTCTTGTTTCTTTAGAGTCGGGCTCGTGTTCAGGCTTGTTTGGACGAAAGTATGAATCGATTTCTAACTGGTTCAAAGTTTTCATTTAATTGAGATTTCGTTAGGTTGTGGCACAATTAAACTTTTGGGCTAGGGATGAAAAAGTTGAGCACGCATTTTTAATTTAACAACGAAAACATTACCCTCACCCCCCCCCCCAAAAAAAAACTCAAAATAATGTAGAATGTATAGAAAGTCACGCTGCAAATAACACAAATAGTATGTAATTGTAAATTTTGCCAATAGACCAGTGCTTGTCGAGAATCTGGTAGCAGTATCAAGGTTTTAGATAGATACCGATTCATCCAATTTGAGCGAATGGGACTGGAAATTGGAGATTTAAACCGAGTCAATACAGATTTTCTGAAATTTCTATCTTCCTTAGCAGTCCATGCATTAAGATTCATGCTAACTTAATCATCTACCAGTGGCTCCTCCTACACCCGATCAATTGGTCTCTTGTTCAACATTTACACTGCATCTTCCCTCAATGTATTACTACCCCGCATTAGCATCTTGGGAGCACATGGCCTATTGAGTACTGACGAATGGTACCCATGCGGGTCTTCTGACGTTCAATTATGGAATTTTATAAAGGGTAAGTCAACGTACCTGACTATCTACCGGCGCATGAAATCGGGGAGGGCATGCGATAAACTAATATAACAAAACCGCTACACCCGGCTACTATTGCCTTTGATTAGTCTGCAAAAATAAAGTACAAACTGCCCAATAACCAGAAATTAAATACCCTAAAGATGCACCTACAGGGTCCAGACGAAATCTGGAGCATCCTTCCTCTTGCCAGTCAATGAACGATACAAGTACATCCTATCTACTTTCTGCCCATCATCCAGATTAAATTCTTGTTCATTTTCACTCATGATCTCCACATTCAATCTCGGCATCTTCTTAGCTAAAGTCTTGCAGGCTCCCAAGGTCACTTCACAGGACGACATCCAAAGGGATCGCATTGTCTCATACTTCCCTACGTCCTTCAGAAGAGCCATATTGCCAAAAGGGCTATCTCTTATCTCAAGCTTGCGAATTTTCTTGCATCCATTCAGCACATAGAGCATTCCTTCGTCACTTTCTCCCGCAAATGCAACAGAGAGCATTTCAAGTTGCTCAGCATACGTTCCAATATACAGGAAAACTTTATCAGTCAGTAAACCAGACATTGACAATCGCCTGAGACGCCTGCAAGACTGAACAATTGCTCCAAAACCTTCATCCAGGGGCTGCATTGTATCAGCGTCAGGTTTTGTGGGATCAAGGGTACACAGCCGAAAGCGAATGAAATTTGGACAGTTCTTTGCTACCGTTGTGAGGGCAGCATTTGTCATCTGCTGGCAGAAATAGAGCAATGAGTGAAGCTTAGGACAGCCCACGGATATTGCCACTAATCCACGTTCGGTCACAGCTGAAGGTCCAGCTTCAAAAGGAAGAGATGGAAAAACCCTCAACTCCTGCAAATCTTTACATGTGGAAGCTACGACACTGAGCCCGTCATCCCCAATAGAATCCAATATCTGCATGATTGTAGATACTATTGGCATCCCCCCTATATAAAGGAAAAAAGTATGAAACAAAATAGCTCTACAGCTAAATATACTTACCCATAAGCGCTGAAGCTTCACACAGTGGCGTATTAGCTTTATGAGATCACTGCCCTGAAGCCCTACTGCGTAGCTCAGGTTTAAGGATGTTAAGTTCGAGCAAAGAGGATATACAGCAGGTAAGCATTGAGGAGCAGCCTCCAAAAACCCTGACAAACTAGTTATTGATCTGCACTTTGAAATCGTATGCTTTAGCTTGGAGTAGGCCTCAGAATCTGGATCATCGACAAAGGACCCAGTACCCAAGTCTGTCAGCTGAGGTGCTCTCATCAATATCCTCTGGAGGGCGTCAAGGGGTACAGCACGGTTTAACTTTAAGCTCTTAAGATTAGGAGATCTGGCAACAAGCCTCTCTAAAGCCCCCAGATTAACATCCCCTTTAAGACAAGCAATATTGAATGAGACGAGTGATGTACAACTATCAGGAAAGCAATTCAACCATTGACCCCTGTGATCATCAATTTCATTCTCTTGCAGGTCCAGATCCCTCAGTAACCTGCAATTCATATACAAGCCACAAAATAGATAGTCAGTGACACGCTCATCATTCTGCCAATCTTTGCCATCAACCGAATGCATTTGGCGTTCCTTATTAGAAGCAGCAAAACAGATTTCTCAACCACATTCCTCCCTACCACAAACCATCCCACACAACAACAGAATATACAGGAGAAAACCACAGTAGCAAGAAATCCGATATATTAAGAGTTGACAAATCGATCAAGATAACTAACAATTGACTACTTAACCAAATAGTACATTAAGGCTATAAATATACTTCCGTGAAGCTCACAAATATCCATACCAAAACAAAACTCCACAAGACACCGAGACAAAGGCAGCAAACAGCATAAAAAGTCAAGGTGAACAAAAAAATACGGAAACAGCTTCGAAAAGCTATCTGCGTTATGTTTTAAATCAGAAAAGAAATATGAACTACAAATTGTAACAAAATACATATGATAGGACAGAGCTCAACATTCGCCTCATCAAATTGGATGGTAAAATACCAGTGTTTCAATAAATGCGTCCTTTAATCATACGAAAAGGCACGATTCATTCGTCAAAGAAGCGAGATTCCAAAACAAAACTAAGAATCAACCACTATCTATATAACAAACAAAATCAACAAGATAACCTCCACATAAACAATTCAAGATGACACATTGAATAGTACTCTTTCAACACCAACATCAGATCAAGGGTAATCATATATGATTATATAATCTGGTCCCAGAAATCCTTACCTGCAATTTGCAGCTATGGCTGCTAAACCATCAGTGGTAAACCCTTCACAGCTAACAAGAACTAGAGATTTGAAATTTGGGAACGAATAGGAAAGTAGCTCAAGGCTATCATCCGAGACCACCATCCTCTTCAACTTAAGCTCCTCCAACCCAACTTGGCTTCTAGCCAGCGCTTCAATCCATGGATGCACAAAGCCTCCCCATTCATGAGGAACCAAATTGAAGTCCGCGAAATGTGGTTTTCCTTTCAGAGTTAGGGATTTTAGACCCGGAAACCTCTGGATCACTCTTTCCGGACTGATCGAGTAGCAATTCCCTATGAACACCCTCTGCCGACTACATCTTTCTACTCTGTACCAGCTTTTGCACACTAAAGACACAGCGTTCCGGTCACGGTGAGACGTCACGTAGTCGAAAACATGTTCTAATACCTCGTCTGGAAAATAATTCATCTTTATCCTCCACCTACCGATTTCGACAACTTCGTAAAATTTTCATCTGCCGGCCCGAAAGGTTGCGAGGCGAAGCGCAGGCAGAAAATATAGTGCTTTCTATAGAAAGTACGGCAACGACGTGAAAGAATTTCAGATCTAACACTGATATTCCCCAGATCAAGCCCCCATAGCAGACAAAAAGTGAAAAACTTAACCAGGAAAATAGATCTCCCCGTAAACAGGAGTCAGTAAACAAGATCTCCAAAATAAACCTTCACAATATAGCTTCAAATCCCCGACAACAAGAGAGATCTAAAAGAGGGTAATTTTTTTCTTTTTACATTTTCCAGATTGGACATGAGAGGAGGGATAAAAGGGAGCAAATATTCTCAAGAAAATTACAAGGAAAAAGCTAGAATCGTGAGGAAGAATTCGAAAGAAAATTATTTCCTCAGCGATACTCTGCAAATCAAAAGGTGATGATTACATCCGATTTATATAAAAATAAAGCCTTGAAGGAAAGGAAAAATGAGCTTAATAGATCTCCGAATCTACAATCTATGATTCCTACATATAGTAATTTACATCCCAAACAAGACCAGAGGCGAGCATTGAAAACCAACCCGAACCCCTTCCTCTCCTCCCCCCGTCACTTACATGTAACATGGCTGTGTTAAAGCTGAACTAGGGTCAGGCTCAGGGACACACCCGAACCCGAGGGCCTGATATAAACCTAACCATGGTTGAGTTAAAGCCTTGGAATCGTACGAAAGGCATGGAGTTTCATGACGGGATTAAGAGATTCTTGACCGTTGATTGCGTGAACATGCATGCGTCCTTGTCACTGCTTTCGAAGTGAGGCCTCCTCTGCCAAGGTAATGCACTCTGATGCTAGAAAAAAGGGCTTCTTTCTTTTTTGCCCGGAAAAGAGTCCAAAGCGGTAAAAAAAAACATAAGTTTAAAAGGATATCAGAAGAATGACCTCATTTTCATCTGGAATTACGGAAATGCCACACAAGGCCACAAGACATAGCGCAGGGTTAGATAAGACTCACAATGACGCCCTCTGGGGCGAGTGTAGTAGTAGACCCGTTGTTTTTTCACCGCGCCGTTACACGTGGCACTCATCAGAAGCGGATACAAGCTATTTTTTTTTAAATGAATATTCTTTGTAATTCTTTTTTAACTTTCCCTCCTCCCTTTCATTTCTTTTTCCTGTATAGATATGAATGATAGCATTCTAATGATTAAGGAACTCAGTACTCAAGAATAAAATTCTAATGATTATCAGAATTAAAAGAAATTTTTTGTTTATCGTTTTGCGGTTTGAAGAAGGCATTTGCAGGACTATACAAGCGCATGGATTTTTAATTTATACTACTATTAATTTATTGGATAAAAATGTAATTTCGTTTCTAATTTTATTTCTCAGAGCACCCAACAACTTAATTATTTTGCTGGTGTAATTTTACTCATATTTTTTATAATTTTATTCAGATCTTATGTCTCATATTTACCAAAATTAAAAAAATTATGGATAAAATTACAAAAAATATGAGTTAAGGTCCATCTAGTATTTCAAAATATTTTTTCCAGTGAGTTTAGTATTCTAAAATATTTTTTTTAGTGTTTTTATCATCTTGAAGTATTTTTTATGTATTCTACACTCTAAAATATTTTTTAAGTATGTTTAGAATTCAAAAATATTTTTTTATACATTCAATACTGAGGCAAAAAAATATTTTATGATGTTAAATACTCTGTAGAATATTAAATACACTTAAAAAAAATATTTTGAAAGTGTTGAATATAGCTTGATCCAAAAATTATTATCAGTAAAATCGCACAGTCCAGGGCATTGAGAAGTAAGATAGGGGGGATTTACTTTTAATTATTTATTAAATATTAAATACTGTACAAAACCAAAAACCTCGGGTTTGATGTGGGAGAACGGGTGGGGGAAGTCAGGTCCTTGGGGTGTGGATAAAAAGGCGAAGCGGTAAATGAGAGAATCAATTGCGTGTGAAGGGATAGTAAAGATAGCAGGGCATAATGGGGAAGGAAGCCCTGGGGGTGATCGGGTGTGGGGAGGCGCAGCGTGTGTATAGTGAGTAGTGAGCGGCAAGGGGGCGCATCACTTCAGGGATCACATCAGGGTCCAAAGGGCAGAGAAGGCCGTACAGGCAGATGGCAGGGAGGAGGACGGTGGGGCTACGCTGTTCCATTGTTGGTCTTTGCTACAGCCATTTCTAGTGGAGCTTCCATTACCTCTTTACAGACTTCCTTCCACTCCATCCTCTTTGTTTCTGGTTCTTTTTTTCCCTTAACTTGAAAAAAAAAAGAAGGAGTGGGAGAAAAAGGAAATTTACATGAGCTGATTTTTAAAAAAAAATTGAGGATTTTAAATCAATACAAAGTCCTCAGATTCCTTACATTCACTTGTTATTGAACACCACAGGATAAATCCAGCCACACCTCTCTCTCCCTTGAGAGAATGTACATCAGAGTAATGGGTTCGTTGAGTGCATTAAGAAATGTTAAATTTCTTTTAATTTAAAAACGTATACCAAAATATGATCTTTTATTCATAAGAGAGCTTTTATATTACTGAGATGACAAAGTCATTGGTAGAAATGTTGAAATCTAATAGCTGTGTGTGAATGTACAGAGAGGAATTGGGGAAGAAGGGAATATAGAAAGTGGCATTATTATGGGAGTAGCTATAGGCGTTTGGCGTATAGTTAATATGGAAACGCTATTGTGCTCAAGGCATAGCCATGTTGCTTGACTCGAAACAGAGTCCCCACGCACAGCCCTAAAGCAGCCCGGCATCATCACCCCTCCACTTTCATTCCCATAAGGCTTTTACTGCTACTTTTCATGTCGTCTCATCCCATCACTATTTCGTGTCAATATAATGTTAAATGCCCATCGTTTCAGGGTGTGTTTGGATTAACGGTGGGGAAGTAATTTTTTTTTCAATTTGATTTTTACAAAAGTCAGATTGAAGAAAAGCAGCTTCTTTAAACTTATTGTATAAGTCTGTTTCAGTGATAGAAGTCAAATAGTCCCATCGCAAATCCAAACATGTAAAACCACAGTCACATTAAAAGTCAGATTGGGACGTACGTTTGGGGGCCCAAACGTGGTCCCAAACTGACCCTTAATGGTTATGACTACTAAAGAGGCCTTTGTGCGTTTGCTATGGTAAAATCAAATGCCAAAGGGGGGGAATCAGTTTGTCACACCAAAGGGCGGCCAGACAGTTTGAACTGATTTTTCATAGCATAAAATAAAAGTAGTACTAGTATTTGGCAAGTAGTTGTGTTTGCTGATTTTGCATTATTGGAAAGCAGAGGAAGTGTGGTTTCGTGGTTGAAAATGATGTTTGGGTGCAGTTATTGGTGGGTATTAAAGGTCAGAACTCAGAACAGAGCAGAGAGCATCACAGGTCTCCATCTTGCTCCTTGTTATCTACCTGCCCTTTGTTTCAGCTTCAAGGTTATGTTACTTTCATATGCTTTAGAAAATTTATGAAGTGTAATGTTATTTTATAGAATTTTTACTCATTATGTTATCAACTTCGTTAGATTTTCTTATCGCTCATAGAAATACGTGATCAGAAAAATTAACACGGTGTATATAGAAAAACTTACCTAAATATTGGTATAAACTACTACATCCTGTCCTTAATATAAGATATTGTTTGACTTTTATTTTGATCATAAATATAAGACCCCAATCCACTCTGTCTCTCATATTTATATAATTTTTTCTAAGATAGTCCTTCTAATAATTATAGTTTTAGCCAACACACTTGATTATCAAGGATATTTTAGGAAAAATAACTCATATTTATTAATTTAACTTATTTTCTTAGTCCGTTTAAATTAATCAACTAGCTCTTATAATTAGGATCGGACGTAGTATAAAGATAATTATTTCAAATTTTATGATATCTCTACTTATTGTTGTACTTTTATTACATTCTCTGTCATTTATTGTATTTGATTTTTTTTAGAGGCCGATCAAAGTAGTAATTTGCTAAGATAATCGAGAAATATGCTTGCGTTTTACTTCCAATTATCTTAAAAAGTTTAAAAAGGTAATGTGAAATTTCACGAAGAAAAAACAAAAAAGGAGGCTGGAACAAATGACCATTAGTAGTGTTTTGGGAATCATTTGGCAGCTTGACTTTAGGCAAAAGCAGATTTGCCCTCTAATCTCTCTGTGAAATCACCATTTGTGGTCCACAAATCCCACTCCAACCCTGTTTACTTTTACGCTTATGTTCATTCACATTCATTTTGGGCGCCAGAATTATATTCACTACGTTTTGCTTGATTACAAGTATAATTAGCTTAATCACTCCTGCCTCACATCCAACCTGTACTTGTGTCTTGTCCTCTCTTTTATATCTCCGCAGATTCACTACACTTGCCCGTATTTGTATCATTACGTGTGGTTCCTCCTCTTTCTCCTGTGTTCAATAATTACTCCACACATTCTCTTTCTCCCTCCAAATGACTTCATTTCTTTTTACTGCGTATCACTAATAGCACCAAGTATTAAAGCCTGCAAGTTTCATCCCAAATCTCAACACTTTGAAAGCACAGCTGGGCCAAATCAAGAGATTTGGGAGCAATTGACTTTCTTGCTAGAAAATCATTTGAAGTTGAAACCTTTTTTTATTCAATATCTCCTTGGCTTCTGATTTTTTTTCTCAGTATTTAAATCTTTGAAATTCACTTTTTAATATATCATGGAAATGAATTTATATTAAATTCACATTTAAACGTAAATCATATTATACTAATTGATTTTTATTTCAGTTTCAATTTGTACGAATCAGCTGGGATAAAAATAATTTTCCACGATATTAATCCAAACAAACTCTGAACTCATTAGAGTTATTAGTTGCTCAACAATACTATATGTAACGAACAGCAATCAAATATTTCATTCAGTCCAAAAAAAAATATTTCATTCGGTCTTTCTCCAGTAAGCTTGTAATTTAAAGCCATGTCATAAAAATCTGGTCTAACAAAAAAAATTAACCAATCAAAATTCAAATTATTACTAAAAAATATTTACATTTACTATCCGGTAATATTTTGAATGGAATTGTCTTTGGTTAAAAAAATACTGATGCATGGCAGAAAAAACAAATTGACTTGGAAACAGAAATGGTAGAATAATGGAAAAAGGGGAAGGAAACTTTTTGACCGAAATGCTTTTAACTGTGGCATAAAATTGATGGCAGGTATGATTTGGGAATTAATAAATGCTTTAGTGTCGCCATCAGAGGGAGAAACGGGGACCCTGCAATCCAAAAGCATCGCCAGGATTCAACGGACACTGCCTTCTGAAATATGACCACTCTCTTTTGGATTTTGTCATTTGGAATTTAACACTCCCCCCATTATTTATTCTTTTTTTCCTTCTCTTCTTATTTTTGTTTTGTAAGTCAGAGATTTTTCATATTCTGTCTCCCTCCATATCAGATTCTCCCCCAATCAAACCCCCCCCCCCAAAAAAAAACATGACCTTTCCAAACCTAACCTTTTACTTATATTTCTTCATTAATTTTTTATTATTACTCTCTCATATTTTTTCAGTGAAATTACATGATTTAAAAAATAATTAAAAATA